TAAGATAAGGAAGGAAAGTAAATTAATTTTGTAAAAAGATGCTTCAAAAAGCCTATGAAGGTGAAAAAATTCCACAAATAAGTTGATAAACGTTACATTTAACCTTATTGAGATATTCAGACCCAGGTGTAATGATTTTACTGAAAAAAGCCTCACCTGAGTGAAAAATCCGTGACTGTTTTGGCTGATTGCTTTCATATGATTGCTGTTGATTAGTGACAATTTGCATGACACCTCCACTTGCCGCCTCCAGATCCTCAGGGTCCCTTGATGCAGGGAGCCTAAAGGCCTTGGGTCTATCAAAGCGTGCACGTGGAGACACCTTGTCTTTTGTATCCCAGATCTTGAGATCCATGTTGTGGCTGAACAACTGAAGTAGAAGCTCTGTGGTGACTGGGACAGTGTGACTAAAAGATAATGTTGCAAGGAAATCAATATTGATTATTATTATAATCATGAAATGCCTACACTAAATTTTATCAGAATAATATCAAAGTTTCTTGAACCTGATCAGTAATTGACAGCCCAGTTTGAGTACTAATATCACTATGCTGGCCTTTTGTGTGTAACTGGACACTTGTAAAAGCCATACAAAAAGTTGCAGAGGTAAGCATTACTTATCTTGTAACAATAAAAGTACAAAGATTAACCATGCTCAATGATAACTCTCAACAAACCTGTGGGTCCAAGTAACCCAAGTTCTGTCCCCTTCTCTCCATGTCTTCAACACCTTAGAGTCACTTTCAGAGTAGATTTTGGCTGCAACACCATAAGTTACAACATCTGCCTTCACCGGCTCGGGATCAGTGGGAAAAAGTTTATACTCCAAATGATAATAATGATGTGGTTTTGGTGCCTCAAATAACTTGCGCTTCCCTTTAATGGCAGCAATTCCTCGGTTTACAGGTTTGGGCTCACTGTCATCTGATAATTGTGAATTAAATGAATGTTATTTAGTCCATTGTCTACAACATCTAACTTAAAAAATGCAATAACATGTTATTCATTATACTCCTAAGACAAGGGAAGAGCCCAGCTCTCAATTCCCCTCTCCCCTCCTCTAATTTGAAAAATAAAAAAATTTTCTGGGGGGGAAAGGACTACTCCCATTTAATGTGATGGGGGTGAATGGGAGATTTTCAGCATTATGTGACTTTATTCAATTATCACACTTCTTTCCCTCGAAGCCACATTACAGAAACAGAAAACTTGTGAATCTTGTGAATAGACAGCTGGTTCCCATTGAATCACATAAGTGCCTATTGTG